TCCATCATAGAAGGCCACTAGGTTGGTCAGGCAGGACTTGCCCCTGGTGAAGCCATGCTGGCTGTCTCGAATCACCTCCCTGTCCTCCATGTGCCTTAGCATAGCTTCCAGGAGGATCTGTTCCATGATCTTCCCATGCACAGACGTGAGGCTGACTGGCCTGTAGTCCCCCGGGTCTTCCCTTTTTCCCTTTTTAAAAATAGGGGTTGTTTCCCCTTTTCCAGTCAGTGGGAACTTCACCGGACTGCCACGACTTCTCAAATACGATGGATAGTGGCTTAGCAACTTCATCCGCCAGTTCCCTCAGGACCCACGGATGGATCTCATCAGGTCCCATGGCCTTGTGCACCTTCAGGTGCCTTAGATGGTCTCGAACCTGATGTTCTCCCCCAGTGAGCGGTTCTTCATTTTCCCAGTCCTCGCCTTTGCCTTCTGCAGCTTGGGCGGTGAAGCTCAAGCACTTGCCGGTGATTAGGCCCTTCATGATTTGAAAACAAGTATCTATCAGTTTACATGACAAACCTCTCCTTGAGCTAAAAACATTTAAATTCAATTTCCGCATACTCAGAGAGCAGAACTAACCGGTCTAGTCACACAAAAAGATCTAATCCTCTTTTTACTTGAGCTGAAGGTGGCTTTCTTTGCAGTGCTAAAAATCAAGAGGTATGTTTTTCAAAGGCACAAGATCTAAACAGTACTCCACAGGAGATTCCCTTTTGCTTCCCCACCTTACGTAAATGCTGACAGAGTCGTATTTTAACCACTAGCTGCTCGTATTTTCTCTAAGTCGGTTCAAATACAGCACGTTTTCAATGGGATATTCACAGAGCAAATCTTATGCTAAGGTGCTTCCCCCTGCCCAGCAAAAGAGAGGCTTCTTGTTCTCCACCTCTGGGGACAGGGTTGCTCAGAGTAGGACTCTAGCTGAAGAGACCGTTTAGTAGCTGTGAGTAGCTAGAGATTACCGTGACGCAGCCATTCCCCCTATCTTCTCCGGGGGCCTGCAGGCCTCTAGAAGGAGGCTGTAACACCAACTACCAACAACACCTGTCTGCTTTCTGTAGACTCCTCCTGGCTACCGGTGCTCTCACAAAGGGAAGTCAAAGCCATCTCCACTCCCTTTATAGCACCAGCAGCGTTGATGAAAAAGCCTGATCTTTTTGGATTAAGTACAATTAATCTTTAAGGTTTAAAAGCTTAACTATGTACTTGACAGGTAATGAGTATTAATGATTTTTTTTCTATGAATGGTTCCTTTTGAAATGAAGATGGTGAGATTGCTGCACAGCCCATGCATTTGACAGTACTCCTGGATAGTTAACAATAAAAAGCAAGCCAAGAACAAGCAAGCACAAGAGAGACCTAAGCATATTTTTTTTTACTGTGTTTTGTGTCATTAACTCCGAAGAAACCCTCACATTGTTTACAAGTTTAGAAAAATGGGTATTTTTAATACATTCCAAAATGCATTTGGGGAACTCTAGCTACCTGATACTTAAGAAAATGTAATAGAATTTTACATTCTTTCACATATATAGCACTGCACCACGAACAATGATAGTGACATTCATTATCTTCAAATTATTTCCTTTCATCAGCTTCCTTCTCCTCCTCTAAGTTAAAATAAAAGGATTTGTCGTAGCCCATGAGATGGTTATAATCCTGAGGATTCGGGAAAAGCGTCGGATTAACAAGCATCGATTTCGTTTTAGCGTAAAATGTTGTAAACATCTTGGTGATGTCTGGAATCTTTACATCTTTCTGATGGAAGACAGTCGCTTTTTCTGTCAAGATCGCATTGTATGTAATGGCTGTATATGTGTCCATTTCATCTTTATAATAGAGTCGAATCACATAGCCTTTTGTAAGGACATGCAAAGTAACCGGCGTTACAAATGTAAAAAACCCAATCAACCCATAAAAGGCAGCTTGTATAAACAGGCTTTCAAATCCAATACCAGTTTTGAGAATGATGTAGGGCATCATGAACAGGTTGAATATGCTGGTGGAGTAAGAGAAAAACCTCACACCTACACAAAACAAAACAAAGATTAATACTTATGAGTAAAATCATCTCTATAATTACATATGTTCTGCTACTATATATTGATGGCATTACTTGAACAGCTGAAGTTACTGAAAATCTGCTTTTTTTTTTTTTAAGCTCACAAAGAAACCATTGAAAGTTCAAGCCTGTCTTCTTGCCACTGTTTAAGTGGTTTGTTTAAGTGTTCATGTTGGGTTTATCAAAGCTGGTAGCTGGCTCTATTTCTATGATGAAGTCAGCTACTAGCTATTACGCACATCTATGAAGTTTTCACTTCACAGATAGGAAACTGATTTCAGAAGAAACTTGACTCCAGTCATGGACATGCATAACGGTAATCATCGCAGATATGACTGGGAATTTCTCTCTTCATCAACAACTAATGTTGATGTTCAGGGTACAGTACAAAGAAGCTTGCTTGGTCCCCCACCATATGTAATTTGAAAAACCTAGGTTATTCAATATTAACAAGCACTCCAGAGCCATCTTGTGTGCAGCTGTGGATCACCCACAGTCCTTAAGCCACCATGAGAACCAGTAGTCTAAGATGCTGTGATAATTAAGTATGTTAAGGCATACTTCCTCCTTCTTTAAGACACATTTCAAAAATGCGTATCAGAAAACATCCAATGGATTACTTTTCACTGGGTCTTTGTAACATCACCTGGTCAAAGAAAGATCAACAAAGTCTCACTGCAGATAGTGCATTTCATCACAGTATCTGTCTACTTCAGAAACATTTCAGTAACATTTGAAAGCATACAGAATGTAAATTGCAGTTACAGCTAGTCTTTGTCTGCTACTGGGTCGGATAATGCACTCCAAAGGCTGCAAGAGAAACAGAAGCAGGCTGAGGGGTTACAGAGATGCACAGTACCTACAGAACTCCCTGCAGACCTACGTGTGGAAGCAGAAACCAAGCAGCACCACCACATTTTTTTTTTGCTGTACAGAGGATCCAGGTGTTAGCAGAGGTAGAAAGGAGAACATTCTCTTTTACAATGTTGCATTTTAAAGTTATTAACCACTGTTAAATAAAAAAAAGCAATACAAATCACTTCAAGTCACGTACCTAACACTGCCTTTGCCAAATTTCCTTTATAAACTAATCTTCCGTGTTCTGGGTGTTCATGAGGGGAGGATGTGCTGAGGCTGCGAACAGCCACTCCTTGAAAAGATGCAACCTGAAAGATGAACGCAGGACAAGGCCAAGCATCATCAGTACCAATCTATACTTTATACATCTATATATACACGCACACACATACATATACATACATGTGTACATACACACACGAAGTTTCTCCTTGCCCTGAACCTATTCCCAGCATCTTAAATTAGGGATTAAAGTTAGGTTATACTACGAAGCACGCCACAAACAAACTCCAACTACTGTACTGCTTGTATGTTTCAGTAATCTTCCATTTAGATATCCCAAATTCGCATCCAATATTTGCAACCCCACTGACGAATACTGAGCTCGCAATCATTTCACACCCGGCTCTGCAGGGAGACATTCACAGCCTCCGCGCTTGCCAGGTCTCCGTTTGATCTCGGGTATGCCCCGAGGGGAACCTCGGTTCCCTCCTTAGACTCCCATTTTTCGCAAGAAAAAGCCGCGAATCCGAGGACTGCCGCCCTC